TGTCAATCTATTTATATAGCTCATAAAGTAACAAAAGTTGACCAACGTGCTTTACAGTTCATTCAAATTAAAAATGAAAACAAGAAAAACAAGAAAATACATATTGTGTCACTGTGGGTGCACAAGCCAGTTAATAAAAAAATCCAACACAGAACAACAAGAAAAATCAGCTCTAACTGGTTCTCAAACTCTGCCTGAATCAAACGTCGGGGGAAAAAAGACGAGTCTTGAGCAAAGATTTAAAAGTCTCAACAGTCTCAGCGATCTTTAAATGATCATGTAAGCTATTCCACAGTTTTGGAGCAGTAACCACAAACACCTGATGTTCTCTTGTCTTCAGTTTGGGGACATCTAATAGAAACTGGTTGGTAGACCGGAGTGCTCTTACTGGAGTGTAGATGTTAAGAAGATTGCATAAACGTGTGAATTATCTTGTCAAGGTCTCTGAAAGGGAGACAAAACTTCACCTCGGCAATCTGTTTTAGATGGAAGAAACTGCATTTGTTTGTCTAATTTAAAAGCTCTATCCAAAATAACCCCCAGATTCCTGACAGAGGAGTGGCTGCATGAATCCAAGGGCCCAAGAGTGCCCGGGCCACTACATTTACCAAAGCTGATGACTTCAGTTTGATTTTCATTTATATTCAGGAATTTTAGTTTCAACCAGACTGCAATATCGTTCAGACAGTTCAGTAGTGGTTCCAGTGGAGTGACCCTGTCTTAATGGGCAGATATAACTGTATCATCAGTAAAGCCATAAAAAATAATCTTAAATTTTCTAAAAATGGACACCAATTCAACATCCATCCATCCATCCATCCATCCATCCATCCATCCATTATCTTTTACCCGCTTCTTCCATTTTGGGTCACGGGAGTCGCTGGTGCCCATGTCCAGCAATCACTGTGCGAGGGGCGGGGTACACCCTGGAGAGGTCGCAAGTCCATCACAGGGACACAAAGAGACAAAAAAACATTCACTCTCACCTAGGGACAGCTAAGAGTTACCAATCAGACTAACATGCATGTTTTGGTCTGTGGGAGGAAACCGGAGTACCCGGAGAAAACCCACGCATGCACAGAGAGAACATATAAACTCCACCCAGAAAGGCCCCCTGACCGGGATTTGAACCAGGGACCTGCTCACAGAGAGGCAGCAGCTCTACCAGTTGTGCCACCATGCTGACCTTGATTACAAACAACTTTCTCAAAAATTTTGACAGAAAATACAGTTTAGAAATAGGTCTATAGTTTAAGAGAAATGTTGGGTTGAGGTTTTTCTTCTTTATGATTGACTGCACCACAACATGTTTAAAAGTAGCTGGAACACAGCCTGATGACAGGGACATGTTAATCAGGAGAACAACTAATGGACTAAGAGTGTGGAAAAACTTCCTTAAACAGACAAGAGGGAACACTGGCCAAAGGTAGATTAGAGGGGCTGCGTATGATGCACAATATCCTTTTTTTTTTTTGTCACCGGCTCAAACTGTTCAAAGGCAACTGAGGATGGAGGAACTAGAGAGGGGTCTGTTTCAAAGTGGGGTTGAGTAGAGTCTCAGAGCAGAGATTTTCTCAATAAAAAAAAAAACTCTAAAAACTGTTCACACAGTGCAGAAGTTTTAGCAACATGACCAGTATCACAAGGATTCACAACAGAGATAAAAACATTAAAAATAAAACCACATTAGATAACGAAAAAGATGAGTTAACTTGTCCATATTGGACACAGAGGAGAACTGAGGGTTGCAGGAGACAGAGTCCTTAAAACCGATGGAGAAACACAGCCATGTTGAGTTCATTAGGTCCCACCCCGCCATGTAAACAAATAAGACATTTACCTCTCTAAAAAAACACATCTCATATAATCTTTTTCAGGTGTTGATTTTTGTTGATTCAGGTAACTTTTATTTTGCTGCTGTGTGATCAAATACCAGTATGCATTTTTTTTTCTTAATTTTTTGAAGCTTTAGAAAGTGTCATGTTACCCTGTGATTGACAGTGCCATAGTCAACTGCAAGTTGAAAGGGTGTGTAGCTGAAGCTTTTGTACCGTGGTGCAGCCCCACGTCTTGAGTACAAAGATGATGGCTCTAAAAAGTAAAGTATGGTGACTCACAGAAACAGACCTTTGGGCTTCCCTTTTGAACAAGAAAATTCAGAAACACTTTATCCATTTTTATTAATGTCAACAAATCACACTATTACAGAATCAGAAGTAAATTTGAAAAATGATCAAATATAATGGAACATTTTGTTCTTGAACATGTGAAGATGTATCCTTAAATGACACATTTGAACCCTGTTAGAGGTCAAAATGTTTGTTGTTTAAAGGACAAAAATATGTGACAATCGTTTTTTGAAATACCACAATAAAGTGTAACACTTTAGGTATTTCAGTATGTGATTTATGACAAATTAACTGGTATAAACTCAGATATGTAACTCAAGAATACCCTGTGAGAGGCGATCCACAGCTTATACAGGATTACCTAAAATAAACTTATACCTGAAATGCAGTTTGACTAGTAAGTGATGATTCAGGTGCAATTAAAAGTAGGAACATACAGAACTAATGAAGTGAAACTGGTGTCTCAGGTTTTAGATGTCACTTCTGTTGAAACCAGACCCATTTTCATTTTACAATATGATGTAAACAGATTCAAACAAGTAAGAGATGTTTAAGATTCATTAGATGATTATTTTTGTCTGTTAAAGCAGCAATCTCCAAACTTTTCAGTTTTTGACCTACAAAATAGCAATGACCCAAACTTGGGGCTCTAAAAAAACAAGTTTAGGTATTACAAATTGCTAATAACCATAATATACACCATAATTATGAGACAAACCACTTCAACAACTAATATTTATGAATATGGTATTCATGCTTTGTAACAGTTGACAAAATACTCCACAAGTGCCGTATTTTCCGGGGTATAAGTCACAGGGTTTTTTTGCATAGATTTGTCAGTCCTGTGACTTATACGCCGAAACGACTTATTTACTTTTTTTTTCCATATTCAAAATGCAATTTATGACTGATGCTTTAAATTTTGTAAAACTGCAACAGCGAGTCTTCCCATGCACGCTCACTTCACTCAGCTGGTGCAGCCGGAGGAACTCTGGAGAGCTAGCGACTCCGGCTGAGATAGATGGATGGATGGATGGATGGAGCTGTGCCGCTGTAGTGAGTCACGTGGGTACGTGTCACTAGTTGTATGACAAATATA